AGAACGCAGTGGCAACTTGTTTGGTGTGATAGCTATATTTTTGCTAACTCGTTCATAAACAGTGTTAAATACGTTCTTAATCAGTTTAAACACGTTTGCAATTAGTTCTACCTCGTTCTCAACACGTCCTCAGACAGTTCAACTCGTTGTTAAAACGTCCCTAGTAGGATTGAAGTACGACGGTTCCGTTCGTAGAACGCCCAGCTCGTCGTTAGTACGTTGTCATTCGTTCTAATTGTAGAACGTGACGACCACGAGAACATTTTGAGCATTGTCTAAGTTCTAGAGGACCTACCCGTTCGAGTACGTTCGATGAAGTTTGTAAATAGATCCCAAACGGTTCTTAGTGGGTCCAGTCCGTTCGTACACAGTTGAAGCCCGTTTTCGAGAACGTAGTGAGAACTAGTTTGGTGTGATAGTAGGGTAAGAAATAAACAAACCGAGTAAGAACAGTACACTCTCACACCAAAGTGAAATTGCAAATCTCCTGTTCTAAATAGGAAACTGAAGCTGGTCGGGTATCTTATGTAGACTAAGTAGCGCTTGTTTTGTGTGCGCGCTATACACATAATTTCTGTATTGATTCATTGACTTCGCGTTCATGGCGGATGGAAGCAATGCTTGATTATGCATTATCTAGTATGGGATATGTGGGTTTTTTTTTTCCATGGCTGTAGGCTTTTCCCTTATTTAGCATAATGCCATTTGGTCTTTTCATTGTCCAAAAACAGTTACACATTGAAAACGCAGGTTCAATTTGACCTACAAAAGACAATACATCCTCTTTAAATGGGTACAGCAGGGGAAAAGTGTATGAGAGACAAATATATCCATTATATAATTGAGCCGTTTGAAGCACTTTGAACAGATTCCCAGACAGCATACTTTAACCAATGCAACTTGTCATTATTGTAATTCATCATAAAATTTGACATTCTAAGAATTCTTCATTGTAATAAAGTAACTAGTTAAACAAATAATAGTTCCATGGCACAGCAGAATCTAGAGTTGATAACATGAAGTATATTACCAGGAACATACTAGATGGGATTTTGGCATGGTATCCGTGTATCGGTCTTTTAAATCTCTGAAGTGAGCAAATTAATACTTACTGTAATTGTTCTTCGTAATACGACTTTTAAAAATTAATGGGTGACGATTTTTAGTCTGCAACTGAAGATGGCTTAAGTCAACGTCAACCCTAAATCTAATCTTATCCCTAAACCATAACTTCTAACCTATAACACTTAACCCTAACTCCCAACCCTAAAGGCCTCTCACCCACACATAATTAAACGAATCCACTTAACGCAGGCTTGCAAATTGGGTAAATTGTAAATTATGGCGATTGGGAACGTAAACATGCGAACCGAAGCGCACCTTTGCGCATGCTTCCGAAGCCGTCCGAAGCTTTCGTCCGCATACGAACACCCAAATAGTGTACAACTCGGTTGTGTTCTAATCGGTTGGACACGTACGTGTAAGTTGACGTCGGGGGGGGGGGGGGGTTCGTTCATGTGTGATGGGGCTTTAAATCCTAATCATGAAAATCTCTACATATGAACTAATCCAATAAACGCAGTCTTGCAAATTGGATAAATTGACAATTCTTGGCGATTGGGAACATAAACATGCCAACGGAACCCGGGGGGTTCACTGTACACTCCCCTCCATAAGTTTCGCAACCTTTTTTCCCCCATTGAACTACGTGTTAAAGCCTCTTTACCTTTGAATTTTTATTTACTTAGCCTGCGATGAAAATACTTATACTATTGATGGAAACGTAATTTGACTTGTCTTCCAATACCTCCAAATTTTCTCAATTTTTTTCCTCAATTACAATAGGTCGAAAATTGATGATAAATTTGATGAATTTTTGAAAATCGACATTTCCATGTTAACCAATGGGAAATGGTAGGTTTGCCGCAAGTCATATGACAGAATATCCATCCATCCGAGTCCTTGCAAAAATACGAGTTAGGCAGACAATTGAATTTGCTAACTTTATTTAACAAAAAATTGATATGTTTCTTCAGGTTCAACAAAGTTATAGGGCTTTAAAGTCAAAATTGTTTTTCAAAAAACCTCTCCCATTGAAATAACACAGGAGGCGAAAAATTATTTTCAAAAATGACTTTGAAGCGCTGTAACTTTAATATTCATCAAATAAACTTATCAGGCCCGTAGCCAGGGGGGTTCGCAGGGTTCGGGCGAACCCCCCCCCCCCCCCTGGCCAAAAATTCTTTCAAAATCATGCAGTTTTTCACCATTTTGAGCACTTCTCTTGTGATTTTAGCCATATTTGGGCCAAAATTGTCAAATGTGAACCCCCCTGGAAATTTTTGAAAACTGAACCCCCCCCCCCCCTTGGCAAATCCTGGCTACGGGCCTGCTTATCACTTAGTGTTCAAAAAAGTTAGACAATTCAATTTTCTATATAAAAATATTTTTTGCTGAATCTTTTACTGAAACGATATTCTGATTTGCCCCGAACCCTCCATTTCCCATTGGATTACATGGGAATGACGATTTTCAAAAATTCATCAAATTTATCATCAATTTTCGACCTATTGTAATTGAGGAAAAAAATTGAGAACATTTGGAGGTATTGGAAATAAAGTCAAGTTACGTTTCCATTAATATTATAAGTTATTTCATCGCCGGTGAAGTAAACAAAAATTCAAACGTAAAGAGGCTTTAACACGTAGTTCAATGGGGAAAAAAGGTTGCCAAACTTATGGAGGGGAGTGTATGTAAACCTTTACGACGATCCTCGGCTCACGAGGGGTACCTTTTTGACATTTGGTATGGCAATGGAGTGAATGGACCGAAATTTTAGAATCTGGGATGAGAACACCCCCAAATTATGACTTTTGAGGTTTGGCAATGGTCGTTTTTTCCACTTTCTGGTATGAGAATGGTCGTGAAAAAATACATTACCTCACACTTGTGGTGTGGCATTATTCTAGTTGTTACACACATGTTTAATTTGAGGTTGTTTTTTAGATCCTTTTCCCTTTCCCTTTTCTCGGGGTTTCATATTTGGTATGGCATTGGTCTTATATTTGTGTATTACATACCTAGCGAAGCATTTGTATGGAAGTCAATGGAGCGGAAGGTCGGCTATATATTCCTGTATAGCCGCCAAACTTTATTACCATGACAATTTTATGACGTCATAACATACAGACAAAGTTATTTTGACTGGAATCGTGTAAAACTTTGGTCTTTTTTCGCTCAATCAATACAATACAATACATATTATCTTCATGAAATGTTATGTAAATGTACTTTAGGTATGTAATACAACAATTATGTCCGTATCATAGAATATATGCCTTTGGTCTGTCGTAATATAGCCCTCGTAAGCTCGGGCTATATTGACGACAGACCTCAGGCATATATTCAATGATAGGGACATAACTGCTAAATATTGGTATGGCTTTTGCGTGTTATCTTGGTTGGTATGGGATAACTTTGTAATTTGACAGATTGGTATGGGAATTTCGGAATTTTGCTCGGCTCGGTTGCTTGTCATTGGTGCTCACACTTTTGAAAATATTCAACAATTCAGAGACTTAGCACTCAATGAATCAAAATATGTATACATGTATCTGCGTACATATTACAAATTCCTATAACTTTTGATAATGTTTATAATTTGGTCATGGCTTTTGAAAGAGGAGTAAAATACAAAATGTGTTTTTCGGTAATAGATAAAAACGCTTGACCATTGATTTCACTTATTATCGCATATTTTTAAGATTTAAGTATTGTCTCTTATCGTGCATGACTGTCAGTTTGCAATCCATACACAAGTCAATTTGTAGTATCGCTACCATATGTCCCCCAAGTCAACATTGATTTCATTCAAAGCAAAAACTAATGAAATTTGCCAGACTCAATCAAAAAATCAATTATGCTGTTTATTATACATTCTAAAGGTTTGCTCCGATGTACCCATGCATTGCATTTTGTATTGGTACCCATAGCTCCCTTATATGCCACATAGGTAGCATTCACGAATCCAACTGCCGGCTGACGGATATACCTAATTTTTCATGACCAACTCATCTAAATATGGGTCGAACCTGCCACTAATTACCGATCTAAGAAAAAACGTATCTGCGTAACAATGCGTGCATTATTTTTATGGTAAAGCAGGTTATACAATTCAACGTAATAAACGTAATTGACTTCATTTTATATTCCGTAGCATCTTTGTTATTTTAGTATTGCTGTCTCTCTTGATTGATTTATATCAAACATTATGAATAAACGTTTCTCTTGTATGATGTATGCCATCTATTTGATGCATTATAGCTTATAAACCCGCTAGTCCGATATCAACGCCGCCATTATACTACCCCACTCCGGGGGCTAGCTATATGCAACTTCTGAAGATGAAAATATCTCTTCGAACTTACACAGTGTTGGAAAAGGTATACTATTACAGTGTCTTCAATGAGAAGAAAACAGCCCAGGCTGATAAATGACGAGAATGTTGATTGTTACGTTTTCAGAGTCCTCTTTAAAATTACTTGGTGTTCGCAAAATTGTAAATTCACATTGTCTGTTTATGGTTTATTTCCATGGTCGAATCACGTTGTAAATCATAATCAAATACATGTATAGACATTAGACATCGGGATTTTAGTTAAATGTATTGGTCAGTCGGGAGCATAATTTCATTTTGGATTTAGTGGTTTTTAATTTTTAAAAATCAATTTTACGAAATCATTGAAAGATGAATAGGGAGGTATCCTACCTACTTCATAGTAGAATATATAGAATAGATATCTCCATATAGAATGAGTTTGCTCAATGCATACATATCCTATCAGATGATTTGATTTGTGTCCAGAAAAATGATTATTGGAAGATATTATAAGTTTTTGTATGCACGGCTTAATCGATAAAGTGCACCTGTCTGAGGGAATCTTTTTAAATAATTAAATTGATTATAACATAAGATTAGTTTGAATCAATCACGAAACATTCAAATCTCAATACATTTTCCTAGGGGGTGATGAGTTGGCAGTCTGGAGTCGATATTGTAAGAATCAATTCAATTTAAGGATGTGCTTGTCAAATAAGTGAGCACTAATTAAATGAGTTATGTCAGAAATTGTTGATGCTAAACAAGAAGAAAAATCTACAAAAGAAAACATGCATTTCCGAGCCCATTCACAGACAGTTACAATGAGCCCAGAGCCGAATATATCAATGAATACATCAAATGGAATTATAGGCTTGTTTTGTCGACGTGGTAAAAGCATCAAACCGATTTGTGGGATCATTTTGGTGATTACTATTGTCGCAGTTTACATGTGGGTGATAAAAAAACAACAACCGACTGTTGACAGTTTACTCAAAAGTCCTGAACATGCCAAGGGAAAGTTTGTTCCGCCAATGGGTGGTGAACACCATGTGCCCGTGGCAAATGAACATAATGCGCCAGTTGTGGATGAGCACTATGTAGCTCATGTACCTGACAAAGAAGAGATGATGAAAGCTCAGGCCGCGGAAGATGAAGTTAAACAATATGCAGCCTTTAAAGAGAAGCATGGTGTGCACGCAATTCCACCATTAAAACCACCTCAAGGGGAAGGAGATGGAAAAATCAGCGATCGTCACGGCGCTCCAAAACCTAAAGAGTTCCCCGTTGACATACTACTAGAGCCACTGCTACATGAATGCACAGACGAAAATCAGCCTGGTGTGATCATACTTGTGGACACGCAGCCTGGACATGCTGAGTATAGAAATGCCATACGAAATTCTTGGGGAAAACCCGAGAATCATAAGGGAGAAAATAGGGACCAGTTAGAATGGCAGGTTATCTTTATCGTAGGAACCAGTGACACGCACGACGCCGAACTCAAAGAAGAAAATGTGAAACATAATGATATCCTACAAGGTGATTTTAAAGACACTCCGTCCGAAGAAACTCGTAAATTCATGATGTCGTTCAAGTGGTTGGCGGCGGTCATTGACGAGTGCGTTCCACGATTTGTTCTGAAAAGTCGGGATGACGTATTCATAAACCTTGATGCTATTCAGGAATGGATGGAGAAGAACTTCCCTGAACCATATGAATTATTCATGGGTAGAGTTGTACGCCGAGATGTGCCAATAAGACAGAAAAGTGATCCAATGTACGTCTCGGAAGTTGATTACCCAGATGACATTTACCCAGATCTTGTAGCAAGCCCGCTCTATTTGTTCTCATTTGATGTTGTCGTTTTAATGGGATACTCGCTAAAGAAGGTTACGCCCATTGCTCAAGCTGACGCATACATTGGCATCCTGGCTAGAACAATCGGCGTAAAGCCATTTGATAACACGCATTTCCGTCTGTTATTCAAACCATCGTTTAAATGTTTCTTCATTGGGCTTTTCTTTGTGCATGGCACCTCCGCTCAAGAACACAAAGACATATTCCGTACCATTCACAAGGCGAGGTACTCGTACGAATGTGCTGGGGTCCATGGACTTAAGATCCCTCAGGCTCATAATGACTTATTGAAATTCGGCAAAATCAAGCAACCAAAAGAGGATTTATAAATGCTCTTCCGAGAGAATTTTGAAGTACGATGTAGACTTGTTGCTATGTGGCATTCTTAATTGATGTTTCATTGAAAGAGACCTTGTTGAAAGAAGAAATTGAATATCGGATCAAATAAAAATCATATCCTTCCCTAGGAGGCTCCTCATTACTACTATACATGCGTTTTTTTCTTTCATAGAATTTGGTTCATTTTTAGTGAAGAAAGGATTTTTTAATAATATTTGAGAAAATGAAAGGGTTTAAATGACATATTGTTGAATATCCTTAACAATTCTTCATTTGGATTATTCTTTTTCAGATGTTCACCTACAGTGCTTTCCCATTTACAAAAGGGATACATTTAAGAAATATAGACAGAAGACCAGGTATTATATCGACGGATGAATATCAAAGGGCTACGGTACAAACGTTTTCTGTACCCCGAACTACCGAAGGGAGTTAGGGGATCGAAAGTTTTTGCGCTGAGCCCGAAGGTATTTATTCGTTGATACAACACCTGATCTGAGGTCTATATTTCGATTCGAACATAAAATATCTCCAAAATCGTCAGTCCATTTCACTCTTCATTTTCTGCTTCCGGTTGACCAGGTGTTGTATCGACGAATAGATACCGGGTGAAGTATTAAATTTGTTTACATTTTTATGGGCGTGAATAAAATCATATTCGAATGTATATTTCAAAATCTAAGTCAGAGAAAAAGTTGAATCCATGCGTGCGATAACACTTGAACTGGTAATTTTATTTTTAAAATATGTTCTGACAGATTTTATGATAAAATTCTACTATAAAACTCTTTTGTTAAGAAATAAAGACAGAAGTCCAGGTGTTATATCGACGGATAAATATCAAAGGGCTACGGTACAAACGTTTTCTGTACCCCGAACTACCGAAGGGAGTTAGGGGATCGAAAGTTTTTGCGCTGAGCCCGAAGGTATTTATTCGTTGATACAACACCTGATCTGAGGTCTATATTTCGATTCGAACATAAAATATCTCCAAAATGTTTGTACTTTTTACATTAGCAAAATAAACGGGATGAATGGAATGTATACACACGAGGCGAGTGATCTTAGCATGACGGATAAATGAAATCATGAATGTGGCCGAACAAATATTATACTACATTCGGATCTCTCTACTATGTACAAGACGTTGCAAAGATACAATTTTATTAGAAATAATTAAAAAATGTTAATAAAAACAGATGTATATTAATCCAATCAATACTTTTATTGATTCAAGTTTTATGCATCCATTATATTCATTTGAGATTTAAATTTTAAAAATAGAAATCGTAATAAAATACTGATCATTTAATCACTTTCATTTTGACACAAATCTAATTTTATTTGAGATTTAAATTCTTAAATCCACTTCCACTTCATTATCAGATATTGATTCTATTATAAGATTCACAGATGCGGCATTACGCTTTACGCAACATACATATGAATACAGTAAACAGTTGAAAAACAATTTAATAATCAATTATTGGGAATTTTAACCAGGAGTTCGCAGGAACCCGACGAACCCCCGGTGGCTATAGGCATGATACACTGTACAAATAAATATAATAGAAATAAATAATCAGCCTATATACAGGGTGAGCCAAAAAACCGCCACTTTTTTTCAAAATGCTATAACTTTTTTAATTTTTGATACAAAATCATAATTTACATACCAAATAAAACTTGAGGTTGTTATCTAGCCATTGATCATGGATTATATGTCACCAGCGTCTCACTTAACCATGTAGTCTGTGCCATGAGAAATAAGCATAATTTGCATAATGTTCCTAAACTGATACGCCCTGATGACCGCTAGCTAATAGCCCTAATTCAAACCCAAGTGAGTATAGGGTATGGGGAGGTCTCCAGGAGATGGTATGAAGGCACCTAATCTAGAAAATTGCTCAACTAAAGCTGGCAATTAAGACACGTTGAAAAAATATAGCTAACATTTCATTGATACTGCTATATCAGCAAGGCGACTAAAACTAAAATCTATCATCAAATGGGGTGGTGGACCAATTGAACTCCTCTTTTAGATCAAACATAATCCCAGTTGAAGGACTTGTTACATTATATTATATTATTACTAAGAACCCTTAGCACTTTATAACTGCAAAATTTGGGGTATGTAGGTTGGAAAATAAAAAAGTTATAGTGGCTTGAAAAAAAGTGGCGTTTTTTGGCCCACCCTGTATATATGCTTTTTATTGTACATAAATAGCACCATTTTGATTTACCAAACCCCCTCTCTATCGTATGCGTTTGGAAGCTCAAGACAAAATATGTGTGCAGTTTTGCAATGCTTTCGCACGACAATTTTAGTCTTATAACTTCACTACCACTACAATTTACAGATCTTCTGAGTAGAATATTGGCACAACCGCCATCTTTAGTTTAAATTCACGATCATATAATAAGTACTAGTCGACTTCAATTTACGGATTTTGACCACAGCAGTTACCAGGGGAGTTATTCGTAATTACACAATATTATTATCATCATATCGAATTCACTGTAAATTAAACATGTCAAAATATAAAAACGATTTTATGATTTTTTCGTTTCTGAGAACAATAGCGCATTGAGAATCATTATACGCTCTTGCTCATATGAAATATTGCATTTTAAGAATTAAACATCGATTTAAACAAGTTATATCAAGAAATGTGGTTTTAAAAGTGTTTATCAACTTTGAAAATTTAATTTTCTCTGAAAATGCGACTTCTAGTTCGGGGAAAAAGCGAAAAATTGTATCTTGTATTGGACAGATAGTTTATAATTTGTAGTTTTGTATTTGTATTTTCTTTTACTGGATATATTTCAATTTGTACTATCAGATACACCAGGGTTATATGAAAATTAAACCACTAAAACGGAGGAATATTCAAGTTTAAACTTTCTTATACCCTACCATGTTATCTGACCTGGTGGTGAAACTGGTTACTACCTAATCGCATCTTGTCGATTGAATTCATTGCATTGTTTAAATGACCAGTTTTCAATTAGAGGTAGGACGGAACAACGTACATGACCTCGATCAAATCGTCACTAGTGCCACCTACAGTGTCCCAATTCAGCAATTACTGGTTCTATATGCATAATAACTAGCTTCGGGGAATCAGCTTATTCTCTTTTAACTAATAAAAGTGGTTATCAAAACATGTCTATTCAAAATGGCGGCCACCTCTGAATTGCACGACCATATTGGTAATACCTTCTCGAGCAGATGTGCTATGCCCATACGGCATGAAACTACAACTCACATTGAAACTAAATCCGACAAATTGTATTCCCCGGATAGAGTTCATTCGGGGGATATTTTAATTTTCGTCATGTTCGTCTTTCAGTTTTTCAAGAATTAGAAACACTACGCTTCAACGCATTGCGTCGCTGACCCCATAAACATATTCCAAATATATGAGCAGTGATGCATTGTGAGTCTTTGATACGCATGGTTACTGTAACACCCTCCTCTGTGGCCTGTCACCCATGAGCTCTACTATTATCATCAAACCCTGGTGGGGGCTCTCCTATCTGGACCATGATATGCGTGAACAAGCGTTCCTCCTTTACGAAGGAGAGTTTATACTCCAAATTATTAAGTCCATCGTTCCTGTATCGTCGGGTTCCAGTGTAGAGCAGTCGTGTCCTAAAATGAAATAATTTTAGATATGATACTTTAAAAGACAAACGATCGCGAGTATAAGAAATTCGATCATGTGCAGAATATACGGCGAGTGCAATACAAATATACGTGCGCAAAAGTGCCAAAAGGGAAAGATGATCTAAAGAACTAAATCACAAAACAATGTCCAGCACCCTTTTCTTCCCCGTCACCACACGAGATACAGGTACTACGTAAATATTTACTTGATTCTTGTAGATATAGTACTTGCAAGATATACGATCGGTAGGCCAGTCATTGTAATTCAGACTGTCTAGTTTTCGCATATCACTCAACTATATGTAACGCTCTCTGATTAAAAAGAGAAGCTCGATATCATTGCCACCTTTTCATGAGATGAGGTTTATTGTAGGTACCTTTTTCTCCAGTCAGATGGGCTTCGTTTTGTATGGCGAATCATCTTGTATCTTGCAATCATCTCAGGAGGACGGATGATTTTTAATCCCACGTGCATGATCCTACAATTAAATTTAAACTGATCTAATTCCAAACTAATATAAAGTATAAAGATGATTCGAAATTGTTAACTATTAATTGGCAAAAAGGAAATAGAAAGGTAATCGAAATCTACAAGCTATATTTAATAAAACCCAGGCCCATAGCTATGAAAGCTCAAACAGTCTCCTCATGGAGTCAAATTAATAGACAAAACATTATAACCTGCCATTTGTTACTGACGCCGAACACCAACCGCCCACCACCAACTATATACCGAACACCAACCCTCGAACAATGCCACAGAAACTTGGAGACTAGGACAATGTGTCACCAATTCTTGTGGTGACACAAAAAGGGGCAAACGTTGGCCCCAATTTAGAAAAAGACATTTGTGGTGTCCATTTTAATATGTCGTATTTTTCAGAGAAAACGATTACAGAGGCCTTTGGAAATTCTGGTTTTGGGTCTGAAAGCGAACTAAACATATACAAACCTATATGCCATATCATCATCTTCGGCTCCCCATCCCCAGTAGAGATTTGAGTAACCATTGACTCGCAGGAAATGCTCAGTGCGCATGTTCAACACTCCACCAACCAACTCATCGTACGCTAACCTGAATCATAAAAAACATAATTAGAGACTTAGTGAACAGAAAGATGGCAGTGTAGTAGCATGTCTAGTTCACCCTTCTTCAAGAGAAGGGAAACCCCCGGAGCTTTAGCGATGACCGACATATTACGTCCTTGCGTACCACCTTAATTCGTTTGCGCAAATTCTCGCCAGTTAGTTTTTGAATATAACACGTCGTTGTGATGTTTTCAATCGAGGTAAGCAAATTCCTTACATCTTTCTTTATCGATGTTAAATAACAAGCTATGATATTGGTTAACTCGCCAGAAATTAACATAATATCATTCGAAGCGAAGAAAATTTTGAATCCGCCATTTTTATATGTCGATTTGGACCAAATAAGACGGTGGGTCATCTCAATATAGATTTACATTATAGACGTAAGAAAGGGGTAAGATCGAAATTGGTTCAGTTGAAATGCACCCTCTTTCAGAATTCGTATTCTGTTCATTTGAAGATAACTTACTTATAACCCATCTCATCAATAGCCATTGACATGTGCCTTGGTTGTATGGGACATGAGTACATATTTCTATCATCCTCGGGCACCAGATCTACGTCGTGGAAGACAAAACATTGGAAATTATACTGCCTCAACGCCTCCAAAAATGCGGCGTTCATTATTTGAGCTTTGTTAAAGGTTTTCTGACCAGCCTACAAAATAAAACAATCACAGGTATTACATCGCGATATAGTTGCGCCTCCTTTGTTTTAATCCTACCAAACTCTCGCAAACGGCAGATGAGAGGGGCTCTGACATACTAGAATGCAGGTATTATGGACTTGTATGCCATGGCTTAATTCATATTCCGAAGTGTTTCCAGAATTAGGTATCGACACACCTCCTCCAGACCGATGTACAAGGAAAGAAATAAGAAGAGCTTTTCAATGTAGTCTTGTCTCAAGACTTTGTACCCCCTGGGTACTTTACCTTCCCAACACAATAAGGGAATGTGAAGTACAGCGGGGTACACGTACAGTCTTGAGGCATGGCTACTCTCAATGCAAAATCTGCGAATTGGTTTTAGACGTATTCTACTGTCTATGCATTTTCGACCGGTGTCTCGGAATGAAGTGCTGATGATAAGGATATGGGTTAGATCTCAAAACAAACACGATGTTACTGTCAAAATAAACATGTTTCCATCTAATTCTAAAGCAACATATAAGACGTGGGTATCGTTCGCCTTAGACTTTAGGAAAACATTTGTTTTGATATACGATCGGAGGAAATGTAAAATTATGTGTATCATGCATGGTGGTGATAATCGTATCACAAGTGAGAAATGCGTATCACAACCGATGTCGTATACAGCGAAGCGTATTATAACGGAACTGTATATTATAAAGATGGTGCGTAGTGTAGAGCCACGCCAATCATAACCCAATGACATCATAACCATTACGTTACTATTGATCGATTGGTTTGTGGAATCTGATTTGAAAGTGTATTTAACTGACATAATTCGAAACCGATTTATATTATAAAGTGATATAATGATTACATGACTCCAAACCTTTTTCTCAAAACTATATCCAAATGTGAAATAGTAGAAAATGATATTTCACTAAATAAAAGCATGAATAAAAGTGAAGCACCACCAAAAGGGACAGAAAATACAAGTGAATATTTATACGAACCAATCTATACCTGTTCAACTACATATATTCTGTAGTCGAGCAATTGCCGCTGTAGGATAGGATGAAGATGTGACAATAGCACCGTTAGATGGCTCTCCCTGTCTCTATAAGGAACAATGACGGCGACTCTATGTCGTGCAGTGCAATGATGCGGTCGCCATTGACCACCAAACTTTACTTCGGGGTTCAGGTCTATGATATCTCTGCCTGTCAAGTCATGTGTGTGGTTAAGGTCAAGAAATACTCGCCCAACTGAAATTACAATTACATTCGTTTCATCATTTGAATTATCATTTACAAACAGAATTTTCGTGCAACGTTATATGAGCCTTCAAATTATTGGTTGAACCGCGTCATCTCTATCCACCGTGATACACACGTTTTATGTCAACTTGACTGGGGACATATGATATATAAGCGTCCCTAGAGCAATCTATTATTCACATGTATATAGCTTACATTATACCATCATTATTACAATCAGTAATTATTCCCAAACGGGATCAGACAATAAGTATTAGACGACATCGACAATATTTTGTTATAAGTAAATCATCATAATATTTATAAACTCCAACTTTGTAATAACTATGATATATATATTACTGCTACATTAATCCTGAATAACATCAACTAAGTAATTCTCTTACATACTGATGGCTCATATCACTGAATATTTTAAGAATAAGCAGTAAAGAATAATGGTTTTGCTCCCAAAGAATGGCCCTTGAGAAGTGCCTCTGCTTATGTATTTACCAATAAATGGTGTAAACATTTATCTTGATAGGTGACAGTTGAGATTTGTTTAAGTTCTTTCTCAGATCTTCAAACTGTAATTACATCTCCTAGGACAAAGGTGATATTAATTGTAAAACATTGCCTTAATTAGCTGTGCCCTACACTGCATCTTTTCAGATGGTATGTGAGAAATTCGCTGCTCTGGTGCAGAAGAAAATTACTTAACAAAAGTGCGATGAGGTATACACTGTCGCATTGAAATGAATGCAAAACATAACCGAATTGATGACCGAGTGAATCAAATGAACTAGGTTCTCGTGGTTGAGGGTCTCCTTTTATATATTCATTTAGCCTAAGTATCTACAGTATACCTCTTCCTCAATAGAGTCTTTAAGCAATGCATATAAAATCGAAACGTCAACCTGTACGCACAAGTTGCCCTATACAAATGCCTGTAGTTTTCTCACTAAATCGTTCGGTTACGATGTTTACTTAGTCCGTTACATAGAGTACACATCATCGTGTAATATGCCATTAATAGTTATATAGCTAGTTTTCTATGATTTTAAAGAAGCTCGTTTCGTATGATATGTGGAGCTAAAAATGTATGACACATAACATTCTTTTCAGAAAGCATTATACTGTTCATCGAAATCAAAATTGCCAGCATAGTATTCAATAGACATGAGTATAATGATTCCGTTTGACACCAACGCGAAATTGCAAATCTCCCGTTCTAAACACAGCTCTGAAAAATATCGCTAGCTTAAACTCTCCAGTAAGTGACGTGACTTTTACGCGAGGGTGGAGTATCTCCTTTTTCACTGGTACATGTACCAACTAATTCTGGTATTGATGCAGCATGTGGTTTGATGTATTAGAACATCTGACATGTATAGCTTTAAAACCATTTTATTAACATTAATGATGAGAGAATTTGAAAAAAATAAATTGATAGATAAAAGCGACTCCTCTTGGACGGAAAGTCTAAATACACAAAATTAGATTTTCTTCCTAGTTAGCAACTATATCACAAAACCTAATAATGACATAGGAGTTGGTAATCGCTACTTTATTATATCATTAGATACCAGCTTGTCTATTTATGGCACAGACGTGACAAGTATGTCGATACATTGACCAACACAACTTTTAATTGCAAAGACATGACTATCATATACTAGAAATAAATACAGTTACCAAATAACATCTAATCTATTATATTAGATGCAGTACAAATAATCTTGATTTACATCATTAAATGTTCAAAATAGTGATACAATATTTGAACTCTAAATATGAAATTACATCGTGGACTACATAGTTGCTGAGAACAATAACGATATAGCATTAATACATCCTTGGAGATGTTCTCAGCTTGTTTGAGGTTTTCGATGAATGTCATCAAAAAAGAAATGATTAAATTAAGAGGCAAATTATAATCTAAAACTGCTACATTCTCGTTATCAGGTTATCCTTGACTAACATTAAAGGACTTAATCCAAGGAGGTTTTTGTACGAGGTCGATAGGCCTAGCGTATCATAAATAAGTTCCACAATTCATTGAGTACCGTGCTAAAATTCTTAAATCATTTTCAACAAGCGTTAACACTAACACTTACACAATACAAATGCATAAGAACCTACATGGCCATGTTTTCCTGTTTTATCTTCCAATCATGCTTAGTTATCTGATATATAGCATGGCATTACTGTGATCTGATTGGTCAGAAAGTGACAATGCATGATGCATATCACAAAGTCTTTAATACAACTGGTTTTTAAAATAAGGATTTAAGTACATTGTAGGACTTCGAGATGGTCACATAAATACAAACTAATCTCTTATATAATCGATTTATCAGCATTTGATTGATGATCAATCTCTCACATTTTCACTTGCACCTGTGAAGTATGATGGATTAATAAAATATCTGCTGTGGCGGGTAGAATTTATATCTCTTTTAGAATAACCATTTAGTACTTGATCTAGGCTTACTTCAACTATTTGTGTAATTAAATCTAAGTTTTACCACATCAGGTAATAAATAATTAAAGCTTTTGGTTCACCTCGAATCTCTAAAGAGACGGAGAGAGAAATTGATGTAACCCCTGTAGTTATTGGACCTTGTTAATGGAAGCTTTTAGCCCACAACTCGTTTTACGAGCTTTTAATGGATCTTGTCCTATATAGGTCATGGTAGGTCAAAATACTCTCAACCCCCGGGTGTCAACCCTAAAATGCGCAAACTCAAAAACGCGGCTAACTCAAAGAAATAACAGTTTTTTTCAAAAATATGAAGGAAGAAACCTCAATAAGACGTGATGCATTGTATAAACGTGAAAGTCGTACCAGAGGGAAGGAATTATTGTCCCCTAAAACACAAGCTATAGAGATGATTAACCTCAGCTTGGTTCGCCATTAACACTTGAAATTCATAAGTCAGCTAATAAGGGACAGAAGAGGTAATTTCCCGGAATTCATAGACGAATCTGTCTCAATGTAAATATGAACGTCTAGAGGTTTATCATATTGAGAAAGGTTCATCTTTGAATTCTGGGCTATCCACCCTCTTGCTGGGGGTGATGTGGCAACGAGCCATTCGAACCTCAGTGGAAACGTCGGTAGATTATCAATAGACCTTAGCTTACGGTCGAGAGTCATGTAAAAGAACCCTTCAAGGAACCAATATGGGGTATGTTTATTTTGTGTATATGATATGAGGCTTCCTTTTCAAGGATAGCAACAGTCTGCAAGAACATCAAAAATAAGAAAATATGTGCAATATTATAAGAACTTTATGATCCACCCTCGTAAAACCGAAACAATTTGACTAGCAGTCCGTTCCAATTATAACGAAACACTTTTATATCGCATAGTTGATATATTGCATCAAATATATAAATTGAATTTATCAAAGTTTATTGCTTGGAAATTGCTAAGATAACCAAGTTATAATATTGTGTTAGCTTCTATATTGACACTTCACTCGTCTTATGCTGTAACTAAGGCTCGGGTGTCAATCTGGAACAAGTCCGTTGCGTGAGGTGAATCTTGGATTGATTGCGAGATTCAGATGTAGTCTAGCTACGAGCCCTTCTGACCCCCCTTCACTGAGAAAGTGTGTTGTCAAGTAGAGGGGGTCACAGAAGCTTGTAGCTGGACTCCTCCAGAAGCACTGTTTTGGCATATTGTTAACAGTGGCGATATACTTATTAACTATTGTCGTGTATATTATTTATATAATATTGTAGGACTAATCCATTTATATCCTTCATTATATATTGCATTTTTACCTAGTATGTATTTTCAACTGCTAAGGGGTTACGCCTATTTGCTCATGCATCTGCATAAGAAGTATTTAGATTCCTTAATATTAAGACATACTGAAAACAAATGAACGAATGTTCGTTTTATTTTCGGTGGTTTTCAGACCAGTGATCATCATTTGTATCTCCATCTTTTTCTCGAAAAGCTAGATTTTATAATAATTGTATGATTGCAGATTTAGCTCACAAAATTTATCTTGTCCCTCGTGTTCAATTACACATTAAACGATTACTACGAATCCTCTATTATAATTTCTACAATTATGTTAACATTTTAGATATTACCAAGAGGCAGATTTAGCTTTTATTTTTAAATGGCAAAAATCCATTAACGTTTTAAGATATTAGCAAGGGTACAATTCAGGATGGTACCTTTATAAATCCACCCAAAAATTTGAAATTAACTCGAAAAATTCCACCATACAGTATACGTAACACTTTTCGAGTACAGTAAAACCTGTCTAAGTGGAACACATTTGTTAAGAGTGTTCCACTTTGGAGGTGTTCCACTTCAGAGGTTTCACTGTATATCGAGACTTGAACAATTGCATTAATGAAGTAATATGAGAGGACTTTCAAGGAAAATAGCACTGAACACCAAGAGCAGAATATGCAATAGTTGCCAAGTTGATCTACTACACGAAAAGACGTACAATGTCTCAGACCCTCCCCCCTTCACCCACAAGGCTTCCACATTTGATATTCCCCAAGACCCATGCAGGGAATTCATGTGCCTGACAAGCACACATTTGCATATTTGTTATGTATTATCTCAGTTTTGTTTCAATACTGCTCTTCTACAGACCCGAAGCCAAGGTGGTTCTGGCAAAAAAATCTTTCAAAATCATGCAGTATTTTACCATTCTGAGCACTTTTCAAGTGATTTTGGCCATTTTTAGGCCAACGTTGTCAAAAGTGCCCCTGAAATTTTTTAAAAAGTGACTCCATGGCGAATGCTGTCCACGGGCCTGTCTATGTAAATACTGAAAAGTGATTTAAGAGCTGCTTTTCATAGGCGTAGCCAGGGGAAACGATCGCACCCCCCATTATCAATGAAATAGAACCATTAGATAGATGACGAAAAGAGCTTTAAAATGCCTTTTATTTGAGGCTTCTAGCTCAAGTTTGAAGGAAGTTACATACTTTTTTGTAAAATTCATAACAAACTTAAAAACAACTTTTTGCTTGCTTATGTCACGATCGCACCCCCCCCCCCCCCCCACTGACTGAAAATCAAAAAAATGGCGATCGCACCCCTCCCCCCCCCCCGACTGAAAGCTGGCTACGTCGCCCCTGTACATTATATTGATATAAATATAGAGTTAAACCCCCGCCATTCAGGAATCATTAACAATCCGATCATTACAGATAGTATTGTTAAGAAAAATACAGCTGCTAGAGATGGTGAAGAGGTTATTGAAACTGTCTGCTGGTAATTCTTCTTCCATAGATGTGCGCACTTATACGCTCGCAGTTCGTCTTGAATTCCATGATTAATAGAATAGGTATTGGAAATTGGAGTAACTTTCCGTGTAGTTTTAAATTTAACATGCGATAGTCAACAAATAATTGAAATTGGGACTTAATCAAACCAGTTTTGCCAAGAAGTCAATTTGTAATGTAAGAAAAATGTGGATGGTGTTTCAGAAACCAGAAGCCAATTCTCTTCTTGGAGAAGACTAAATGCACATACAGTAATATGTCCATTGGTTCTATTTCAGAGGGCCTCAGCATTCTGTATATTGACTTACTGCCCCCCCCCCACCCCTGGTACATTCATTGCATAACATGTAAATTGTATAACCATTACAAATCTTGAGAAAACGCATGTTACTGTATATTTAGAAAAGCAAATTAAAATGTATCTATTATATGATTAGTTCAAGGAATTTTAGAATATAATACGGTTGAGAGTTCTACGATGGAGTGATGTACGATGGCGTTGTATACGATGCTGGTATACCACTCTCCAGCACTATACGATTCATTTAATTACTATTACACACCCTTGTTCAAGTTTACGTAAAAAAACTAACCTTGCATTCGCGAATGCAACTAACGCCTGTCGGCTACCGGATTAACATAGTATTTTATGACCAACTAATTTGAATATGAATGAAATAGCGGCAAGTACTATACTATTCATATTTAAATGTGTTGCCAATAAAACAGTTGATTAATCCGGTAGCCGACAAGCGTTAGTTGCATTCGCTAATATAAGGTAAGAGTGATCAAGCACTTCGTAAAAAGCATACAGCTTGGGAACTTCAATCCAAACAAAACCAAGTTGATGTATATTTAAATGATTATTGAGTATGTATAATTGATAAGACGCATCGACTTTTGGCCTGTAATACGAACAAATCAGATCAAGTGATTCTTAATTACATTGAGGCGTATGACGAATAGCTCTAAATATAAACCAATGATTTCCCGTTAGTTTCCAATGAAAGATGTGCCAAATGTATCAATCAGCACTTGATTGCATCAAATGTTTTGATGCTTGAATTGAGTCCAATAAAGCACTGATGACTAAGCTCGGAACAAGTTATCGCCAGCTTCTAATTTCTATTTACAACTAATAGAATCAGTTTAAGATATACCATTATTGAGATGAGGGATGGGAATAAGGATGACGAAAATGCCAGCCACTGGCAGACAGTTTGCATGACTGAGTAACCCAAACTTGCTATCTCTACTTCTCAGTAGTTCTATTACGTACATGTATGATGTATTTTCTGTACCCCTCTATATTACCCAAAGCTTCAAAATCCTTACAGATCCTGATTTACACAATTAACAGAAGCTGATTGGTCAAACAGATTCTGACTCAGTAAGTGGATCAATTAAGCAATTGATTAAAATTATGGACATTAGCAGACTCATAGCTCGAATTTTGAGAATAGCCTCGATTTGGTATTTAACTCACCTAAATTTGGTGGCACCTCGGGGCAGTAGTTAATCGGGTCAATGACGTCAGGTTTGGTAGTGTTGACATTGATATGATGGTCGTCTGTCGTCTGCCGCCTGTCAATTTTGGTATCCTCTTGATGAGCAGTTACAGTGTCATTTGTGATATTCATAAATGTTTTTGCATTATAATCGACAACTATTGAGGAGGTTTCTAATGCTGTCTTCCTGATTTTACTTGAATAATCATAATCAGATATGCGTATAGTTCTTAAACTGGGGTGATGGGGATTCGTTTCTGTTTGAGCAGTTTGTTTTCTCATTCGACTTTTCGTAATTTTTCTCTTACGATGTGAACTAGTATGAAGTGATTGTGTTGGTGTGAGATAATGATCGATTCCTCCAGTTGAGATGTCTTTGGATCTATCAGGTTGAGAATTGATGACATTTGTCACTTCTTCATTGGCCTGAGACTTCCCTTGGGAACTGGTAAGGGGCTCGAGGGAATTGTTATTGACTTTAAGGCCAGAACTTCGGAGTATTGAGCTTTGATCTGCTATTCTCGACAAGACCAATTTAACATTATTGTTTTCATCTTTATTTCTAGATACAGAAATATTCTGACTATTTATCTTTTCTGTATATGGTTCAACCACATTACTCTTCGGGTCTTGTTTTGACATTTTAGATAATTTTAGATTTCTATCCGTATAAATAACATTGTTTGGCACTAATTTATTTTCCATAACATTCCTCTCCTCAGCTTGTTTAAGAATGTCTCGGATCTTAATTTGATTCAATTCATTAATCAAAACCTTTCGATTATGTTCCAGGCTGGGAACCGGCCGCCTCATCATTTGACGCAGATTCCTGTCCATCTCCCGTAGCTCGGCGTGAATCTCCCGGGCGGAACGGAACTTCTGCATGTGTTTCGTCTGGTGCACAACTATTATTTGAGACAAGGTACACATCACGAGTATGATGACAAATAATAGAAGAATCACTGGAGGTATATCCCTCCTCCCGAACATACTACAGACAACACCCACTCCTTTAAATGTTGCATCTGGTCAACGTTTATGATGACTCCGTTTGTAAATATTTAAAGTAGTTTTATATAAATACAGTTTTGACTTTAGTCACTATCAGCCTAAAACATCTTAGTGGTTTGAGTATCTCTGTAAAAAGTTCACACGATAATGTGATTTCCTTCTATTATTTTATATCCTTGTATATAATGGTCTCCTTACATTGATGCAGCCCGAACTGGTGCGGTTTAACAAGTGCCTCTAGCTGAAAATAAGGAATGCACAATCAATTAATACACAGAAGTTCTCGATCTCTTGAAGAGTCAGTTTGAAGCGTGTAAAGATAAAATTACAATTAGAGAGTTTGGGGTCTAAGATTAAAGCATTAATGCTGTAGCAAAGCCCTTGTCTCACAAATAGTTCCGAGAAGACAAAATTAATTTCCGGTTTCACTTTGCTATGTTCTCCATAAAAACAAACGTCTTGGACGTAAAACATTTTAAATGGGCAAAAGTGATCTTTTATTAAATTATTTATAAGAGCCTTTGTAAAATATAAAAGTCTTCCTTTGCGGTATTTTAAGTCTTCCATACAGTTACAAGTTAAATCTGTGTTAATGAACTCACCAATGTCTGAATTTGCTTTCAAAACAGTGTGTATCCAGCGTTTTCAGAAGGTGCTGGTTCGACTTCAAGTGCAATACGACCACGTGCATTCAATATGTTTGTCCTCAATTCTATCACAGTATCAACTTCTCACCTTTTACGTTCTCATGAAATTAGAACAAAGGAGTCATATCACGCAACTTCCAGTATGCATCACGATGATTAAAATCCCTATAGAACACCAGCAAATCTCGATGGTAACTAGCGAACTCTGGGACTATATTTAATCCCACATCGTGTCTCACACTGATATAACTGTATAAATTGAAGTGGATGTGTTATCAATCTGAAAGATAAAATAAAACGAATTTACACGTATGTTAAACAAATTAATAACGTTAATAATGTTAATATCTAAAAGAATGATTAGATTTGTATTTTAAATCTGTGCACCAGAGTGCGCAAGTTTCAAAATTAATTAATCGTTTCATGCGTTATCAGCACTAGAGTTAAGTTGCAAATTATGTTTCCACATTTTTCTAATTTGTTAGACGACTCTGAGTAGACGATATTCTTTTATTGTCAAGCGAGCCGTACGAACTTTATTGTGAAATTATTCCCATGGGTTGGTTTTTATTTTCATTCAGCTGCAATATATGAGTTTTTGAACTAATGTTACACGGTTGGCTTCCTGGCAAAATAAAATCACTGTACTTCTTGCTGTAACGAGACGGTCGTTTGGCTAGTGTAGTTCCCATCGAATGGCGTTAAGTATTTCAGCCTTATGATTATTATAAACAATGGCGACGAGGAGCTATTCACAGAACAAGGCATTTACATGTAAAATATCACTACCTGCCATTTTTTACAAACGCCGACCGCCGAACCCAACCGCCGAACGCCGTCCACAAAAAAGTTAGAGAGTATGACTGTCAATATGTTACCACCCCTGGTGGTGAAATAATAACAGAGGTGAATACCCTAAGCAGATACTATATCTAGTAGAAGCCGTCTTGTCAATAATTCAGGAATTCTCAGAGCAAGTGATTGACCATATGGCACAGTTTAAGAATATAATCCTTACATTACACCTAGATACGTAATTCTCTGCCACTTCTAACGTACCTCAGTAATTGGGATTTTGCTGATTGTATGTGACTAGGCTAGACGGCCATAGTTAGTACACACATCCTGGCTGTGCTTTAAAACCATCATTAGCAGAATATTGTAAAAAATATTAATATCTTCGCAAGTTTGAGACATGTCGTATCGTTGCCTTTGTCTCTTCGTTCATAAGAAAGAAATAAAGTAACAAGGGGGGGGGCAAGTTTCAAGAAAAAGTTCTGGCTCCCAAAAAATGCCGAACGAGGGCAACTAATAGAACAGTTTCTTTAGAGCTTTTGAAATCTCACTAAATCCCGTTTTCGTGAGATTTGCCTTCTTTTAATTGCATATTTGAATTCAGTGAACTGTTTTCTACAAGAACAACTTTGATTTATACAGTTATGTTATTTGAATCATTTTCCATGACTTTTTAAAAAAACTTGGCCCAATCTTCATTGATGCAATGTTTAAATTCTCTAAAAACCTTGGTTTATTAACAACCCAAATTTTGATGATAATATGTCAAAAGAGTCCTGATATATCAATCAAGTATTAAACAGATTCAACCAACACTTTTTGATAAATCATGAAATATAGTCACTTTTCGAAGATCATAATATCGAAGTCAATGGAAGTCTGGCCCAAGAAGAAATCTGAATAAAAGATGGCAGCACTGGTTTTTATTCATTTTTCAGCTATTTAGTCGAAAATATCTTATTGAGTATCAGTTTTTTTGCAATTCCTTTGCTATCTTTTTCATTCTTTTTGTCCAGATGCAGGGCGATGCGATATCCCATTTCCGAATATGTTTAGCTGAGTTCATAATAGGTCATTCCGGCATTGAACCTTCTCTTAAACGTAAAAAGGAGCTTCGGGTAGTTTGTTCCCTAATTTTACATCAAATTGATAAGATTCTGGAGGATTGAACAAGATGATCTACTTACTAGTATCTCATTTTACATCAAAGATATGAAAGATTCTAAAAGATTTAACAAAAAGATCTTACCCTCGAGCTTTTAATAATAATACATTGTTCATTGAATCATATCGTAATTCGAGTGGAGAGTTACGTACAGACGCAGTGAAGCCCGGTGACGTAAGCCATCTATTATATCATTATCATATATCCGGTAAGTGTCAGTGTGTCATCAAATGATTTTACCTCCAAGACATATCTCACTTTTCCGTTCATCAATTGCTACCGACCAACTTTGAATAGAGGGTAGTGTGAAGACTTTGCTGGTTGGCCCGACCAGCCACTGACGTACAAAGACCAGCGTAGGCGAAACTGAATCGCACAGGCCTAGATCCTGATCCTGAGGGGTTTCCATGAATTATTAATTACAAAAGCCTAACGTATCAATGTTGTGATATATCCTGATTTCTGATGGAACGAACCATACTTGATACTTGATCGATTAGCTTCATCTGGAAGTGATCAGTTTGTAGTTTGGTGAAATAATCATGCGATGTTCAGCTACGTTAAACAATTCCTCAATACGTTACCTGTATTACGCATATGTACGCCTAAGTAACTAAGCGTCAAGTCCTCACGTTGTAAACCACTGGTTGTAACATCTCCACCTGTTTCTGTACCTATAAGACTCGGTTCTAATTAAAGTTTGAAGTAGATCATCTTCTCTAGGTATGTGGAATTATCAAAGATAGCATACTAGTAGTGTAAGAGCGCCGACAGATCAA